GATGGCCCCAACCACGGCGACAAGGATAGCATGGGCAACTTTGCTGCCAAAACGCCCGGCCTCGCGCGCAAGCGTGGTGCGCCTCCCGGTCTCAGCATCGTCGCGCCGTCCCACGAGCAATTCGCCAACGAGAGGGTGATTCAATCCGCACCGCTCGGTCACTCTTTCACCGGACGCCACAACGCGCATCCATTAACGCGTCACATCACCAACCAGCCCTCGAATCTTGCCAGCACCTCTCACATCCACCACGTGCCCGCGAACCAGACGAACAACCGCCTCCCGCCCATCGCCGACGTCTTTGGCCAGGGACTTTCGGGTCATCCGGATAACAATGGCCATCAGATGTTTGCCAATCAGAGCCGCGCCCCATTAGCTTCCCCGCATCACCCTCCTCCCCAACAACTCCAACAGCAACAACAGGCGCCACAGCCCACCCCGGGCCGGCCAAGAGAATACAAGTCGGCAGAAGAGGCGCAAGCCGACCTGGCCGGCGGTCGCCAGGAGCTGCTCCCCAAGTTAGTACACTACGGCGGCCACCAGCCCCCAACTCCGCCGTCCCCCGGGATGTCATCGCAGAACCCGCATGCGCAGCATCAAAGACCGTACGCCGAGGCTGACCGAAGCGCCAGCAACAGCAAGCGGAGAACACGCGCAGAATACGAAGAGGGCGGAACGCCGCCTCTGGGCAACGGACGGGCGGCGCAGCGGAGAGTCGGACCGTTTGGCGAGGGTCGGGACAGCCCCGAGACGACGAGGGCGAAAAAGGACGAGTTTCTTAAGCTTTGCGCACAGGCGTGGGATCTTTTCCATTCTTGATTGGGTTACGTTTTTTATTTGCTGTCAATCTTTTGGGATGGTGGCTTGATGAGATTTGGATTGGTTTGGATTTGGGGGATATGGGAACGGGGCTGGCTTTCTTCTTTTTCCCTTGCGTGCGTATCCTTGTCCACCTTTTTTTCGTCGATTCTCTTTTTCTCTGTGTGGGTATATATAAATACATATAATATTCTCTTCGCTCTCTCTCTCTCTTTTTTTTCATTTCGGCTAGTTTGGCAGCAAGCTCAGTGTGGAAGTAATCTGGGGTTTCTTGTGTGTCTATTCTATTTGTATAGCTGGCTGGTAGGCTGTGTTTTCTGGCGGGCTGTTGGAGTCTTGAGTGTTGTTCACTTCTTTCTCGCTGGAGTAGGAGTAGGGATTGATTGTGGATTTAAGTTTTGGGTGCAGATGGTTCATGTTACTATTATTGATACTGATACTGATACTCATGCTGATTCTGATATCGATGTTGATTCTGATGTTCATTTATTGTTGTTCGTATTTGCTCTTATTTGCTGTTATGTTTGGTCCCTCGATCTAATCGAATACACTGGTCAGCTGTGAGAGAACATGAGCAGCAGTAATTTGCGAGTCAAGAGATAGTGATGTATGGGATGAGTAACAAACAGAGTAGTAAATAGATTGTATATCATAGTCCAATAAAGTTTTGATCTTGATGACAGCACAAAGCCATACTGAATAAAAGACCGAGCAAGGCCTTGCAAGACTTGTTCGTCTTGGATACTTCATATACAGACACCTGGCTTCTTCCAGTTCATTACCAAGTACTTACTTCCGTGTATGTACATGTCCCCCCCCGTTCAGCGCTGTTCACCACCAACAAACCTCCATCTCCCCTCCTAGACCCAAAGTTGATGATGATGATGATGATGATGATGATTACCTAGCCAGTAGCAGCCAACAAACTCCACAAATGGTCCCTCGTCCCGTTATCCTCAAACTGCACCACATGCGCGCTATTACCCGTGCTCATCCCATCCACCCCCGCCACCAGACCACTATTCTTGTTCAACAATAAAAACAACCCATTACTAACATCTGCATTGTCGCTCTTTTGTATCAACCTCCACAGATGGTCTTCCGATCCGTTGTCTTCATATTGCTGCAAGCGAGCACTATCAGAGCGGCTCATGTTTTCCACCCCGAGGAGCAGGCCGGAGTTGAGGTTCTTGATTTTGTACCATGAGGAACCGCCTTCGGAGGAGGAGACAGCGCGGGTGAGTTCCCAGTAGTGGTCTGGCGTCCCGTTGTCGTCGTATTGGTGGATGTTTGCCAAGTTTTGTTTGGACATGTTCTCGACGCCCATTAGTTTGTTTGAGTTGAGATTGAGGATTTGGAATATGGGAGCGGTAAAGATCTCGAGCTCGGAGAGGCCCCATCCTTGACCTGTTGCAGGGTTTGGCGCTACGACGCGGACTTGGGAGGTTTTGATGGTCGGAAAGGTGATTCGGGTTAGGGAATTCGAAGTGGGCGGTGGGAAGGGGGAGGTAGGAGGGCGAGATTGGTTCGGGATTGTTTGCCAGGTTGAGGCTGTCCCGGGGACGAGGTATTGCAGGTCGTAGGAGGCGGGAAAACGAACACCGCCGCCGTCAGAGTAGAAGTAGAGATTGACCGAGGAGATGGACTGCAGGCGGCGGAGGTCTACACCGAAATGGTCGGCGCTGTTGGGGCTGTTGTAGGATGTCCAGCGCGAGTTTTGCGGAACGGCGGTGCGGAATATGATTCCGTCTATGGCGCGCCAGGGGTCGTCGTAGGGCGAGGTATATGAGGCGAAGGGTTTGGTTGAGAGGGGGAATCGTTGTGGGTTGGCTGCTATGTTTACTTGCGGGGAGAGCGAGGGTGGGATCGGAGAGGGGATTGGGACTGTGAGGGACCCGCCGGTCAGAGTTGACCGGGAGGTGGTCATGGTACCGTCTACGTAGACTTTTAGGCCGGACCCTTGGTTGTACCGGGTGCCGGAGCGGTCCCAGAGGATGGTGATCAGGTGCCCGTGGTAAGTGACGTTCTCGAGGGCAAAGTAGTCCCAGGATGAAGGCACCATGATGGGGTTGATCTTGAGCGTGTTGTCTGGTTGACCGCGCAGACCGAGCAGACCGGCGATGATGTTGTCGATAAAGGTCGAGTGGTTGTAGTCCTCGCTGTGGTCCCGGGTGTCGTACATCCAGCGGTTTTCATCGGGATGGTGAGCTTCTGCAACGTAGGGATTGCCGTCTCTATACTGGGTTGCAGCGTATCGGGTGAGGAAAGTGAAATAGTCGGCCGCGGAGATAGTCGACTGGGTCGGGTAGTCGTGAAGAAGGTTCTCGACGGCAGTGAGCACCTGGGATGTGGCAAAAGGCCAGGAGGGACCGTTCCACTGGAGACAGTTGGCGGCAGTGCTCATGAACCACCTGCTGCGTCGCTCGGCCGTGGTAGGTCCGTAGGCGGAAGCGAAACCCTGGCTGTCTTTGAGCTGGGCAAAGGCTGGGATGGTAGACGAGTCTTGCGGCATGTTGAACATCCACGGCACATAGCCCATGTACTCGCGCGTGGTAAGCAGCTGGCCGTTGGGGTTATTGTCTCTGTGCCGGTGCTTGTAGAACTGGGCCTGGCTATCCCATAGCGTCCTCTGCATGGCGGATTGAAGATCATTGGCTCGCCTGGTATACTCGTCCGCGAGCGATGTTCGGCCGGCCAAGCTGGCAAGAGAAGCAATTGCCCGGGCATCTCCATATTGAAAGGCGTTGATGGTAGGTCTGTATCCTGGACCGCCGTGGTATGGGTCGTTGGACTCGTAGGATGCTGCGGTGCACTCGGTAGCATCCCAGACGGGAACCTGCCAGTAGAGTCCCAGATTGGAGTTGAAGTGGTTATCCCAGCCACGGTATTGCTTGACGAGGTTGTCCAGCTGGCCCATGGCAAACTCTCGGTCTGCCGACACAAGATAGTGACGCCACACCGCCGTGGCCGCCCAGAAGCTGTACTCGTGAGCCCAGTCCGTGGCATCCTTGTTGACGTGCTCGACTTGCGGCTTGCCGAACTGCCCGGGACCGGCCAGCCAGTAGTTGACAATGTCCCTGACGTATTTCTGGTCGCGAAGCCATCGACCCTCAATGATGTGGTGACCCGCCGCAGCGTTGATACCGCCGTATGGAGCACCGTAGCTGACGGGCTTCAGGAACTCGCTCGAGAGATATCCATACTGAGCGCCAGTGTAGGTGAGATGCTCCTTGTAGGTCTGGAGGCGATAGTAGTACACTTGCTGGATCTGCTGGTTGGGTACTTCAAGGAACGGGACGTTTTGTTCGAACCAGTTGGCGTCCTCGACTCCATTGAGAAGTTGGCCGTGATTCAGAAAGTTGGTTCCGGCAGAAGCAGCCGAGCCGGCGAAGAGAACGACCGAGATGGCACCAACGAGGCACCCGCTGAAAGCTGCCATGATGATCGTGCGGATCTGAAAGATGGACAGACCTAGAAAACAAGTGTCATGGTCTGACTGAGTCCCAGACGGTGCGCACTCATCCTCATTTATACCACGAGGAGCCATCCATCTCGACGAACGACATGACAGCGTGGTAGTGAGATGTGTAATCGATCCCTGAAATTGGTTTCCGGTACAAAACGCCAGAAAATTCGGGATTGGGAACCTGGATTTTGGTGTAAACACCGAACCTCAGAAACCATGGCCTTGGGTGTCGTCAACCTTGGGGGCGCAGCCTAGTATTCCAGGAATTAGATGTTTATGGCGGAAGCCTCGCAAGAAAACCGACTTACACAAGATCTTTGATCTTGAATACAGCCAATTGTATTTCTCTTTGGTGTCTGCCTAGGAGGTATACGATTTCGCCAACCAAAAGTTCTGCTCAGCATGAAATCCACCATGTCCATGTGGGATCGACAATTTCGTCTGTCGATGCCATGATACCTTAATTCCACATGCGTATTCTGTACGACAAGATCAATCGTACAGACACAAAGTCACAATTTTTTTTCGAAGGGATAGGATGGTCAGTTATTGGTCAATACAGGAGAGAGAAAGAGAGGATCACGAGCCTTTTAAACCCAACAAGCACCTCGACATTGTGTCCGCTGGTTCTTGGAAACTCAAAACAGATTGCATGGCGGCTTGCCAAGTTGAGCCGAGCTCAAATACCCTAGCCCCACCACAATGAATCATATCAGGGCGTGTGGCTCAGTTGGTAGAGCGTTCGCTTAGCAGCTTTCTTCGGAACCTGCGAAAGGTCCTGGGTTCGATTCCCAGCTCGTCCAGATTCTTTTGCATTTTTAATACATTGTGCTTTATTTTTTCATGTATTTATTTTTATGTTCCCTTTCGATGACAAAGCAAAGGATGCATCTAGTCATTAGTCGATAGGTACGAAATGCCATCATGCTCACATATCTATATTGAAGAAAGAGAGAGAGAGCAGGTTGGTTAACATGGGCGATTATTTACTATAAACGCAATATGACAGCAGATGGACGGTCGATCTCTTTCTGATTACTCTGCGCGGCAGACAAAACGCTGGTATTATCGCTCTATTTGTTTTCAAACCTCAGCTAAAGGACTACTTTGCCCTCGAGAACGTCCCTTACCATGGGCACCTGATCACCCCGATCCGAACCATAAGCCAAACAGGGATCGCAGCATCTCCCACATACATTCCTCCTCCTGGCCAACAAGTGTCTGTCTTGCTTCACCTATCCCAATTATGCCCCTCTACCAATCGCTTCGGCTCCTCATAACAATGACTGTCCATCCTTATCACCAACACCTCCAGCACTCACGGCTCCCTCAGTCGGAACATTCTCCTTCTTCCTTCCCTCCATTAACATCTGCGCGGCCAATTCCGCAAACCGATGTCCCTTTTGCGCTACCTGTGGCCCCAGGTCCTTTTCGCTCCTCGGCGTCTTGTCACCATCCACCACCTTCCCATCTTCCTCATCCTCGTCAGTTGTCTTGTAATGCCGCCCACCATAGCTGTTCAGCCTCGTGTGGTAAACTTCGACACCTTCCTTCCCCTTCTTTCGACTTGTACTCCGCTTTATCCTCTCGACCTCGGCATCGAAGGCGCGATCGTAGATATTGAACTCGGCCGCCGAAGGCGAGTCAGACACGGAATCGGCCGACGGCTCTTGGTCGCCTGCAAAGTCGTCCACCCCACCTGTTCCGATTCCGAGATGGGGTACTGCCGTCTCTGTGATATCGCGTGCTTGGCCGATACCTGGCTTGCCTCCTGCTAGGATACCGCCATTGGCTTTGAGGAATTCTTGACGTTCACGTATAATTCGTGTTACTTCATCTTCCGTGGGGGGTTGCGACGGTGCGTCTGTAAGGTCCGGTTTTGGTTTGCTTTCCACAGGCGTGGATGGCCGTAGGGTTGGCGACGTACTGTCGATACTCTTGGGGGGTTGGACTACGCCGTGAGACGAATCAAAGACCGCCTTCGGAACCAGCAGGGCCTTGAACTTCCGTATCGCTCTCATCTGAGCCCTGTTAGATGTAAACGTGAACAAACTCATAGTCAATGGGGTACTTACGACACATATTAGATGGCTCATCCTCCGTGTGAATGCGTGGTTGACCTCGAGAGCATTGGGCGGCTCGATGTGGTCGAAGCAATTCTCCTCTGCACTGAGGAGAGGATCTTCACCGCCCTTCGTTACCCATGGGTGCTCCTGGTGACCGTTAGTAACCTGAACCTGTACTTCACTTTCCCGACAAACTCACCCTAAGTTTATCCATGGTGATACGCTTTTCGGGGTCCTTTTCCAGGAGTCTGTTCATCAAGTCCACAAACTGAGGATCTTCATCTTCGGGTATTGGTGGTTTGTCGGTCTTGATGGCTTCATACATATCGAGCACGCCGTCACGCTCAAAGGGAAGTCGACCGTAGTAAAGGCAGTACAGAGATACTCCCATCGACCAGATATCGGCGGCCTTTCCGTCCACATCGCCATGCTTGGCAACGCACAACTCAGGGGGCAGGAAAGCTGGTGATCCGGCTGGCTTGGCAGTTCTCATGTTCTCCGGCTTTTCGAACATCTCGGAAACGCCAAAATCAACAATCTTCAGGACATTGTCCTCGGTGAGGAGCAGATTGTCCGGCTTGATGTCACGATGCACTACGCCTTGTGAGTGGACTAGACGGGGAAAGTTAGCAATGAACCAAGAACGGATAATGAGGGGGTACCAACGGTACTCGATGCCCAGAATCAGATCCCGAAACCAGCACCTGCAGTCCTCCTTGCTGTAAGGAGTGGCAGTCTCTTTGAGCCCAACTTTCATGATGACGCCCTTTTTGCACATCTCCAAGACCATGTACAAGGAGTCTTCCTCGGGGTCATCTAATACTTCAATGAGTCGGACGAGATTTGGGTGATTCAGCTTCTTCATAATTGCGATCTCTTCACGGATCAGGAAGAGCGAATCTTGGGCCTCCCGGTTCTGATGATCGGATAATTGTTTGGAGGGCGCATCCGGGGCGCCAAAGCCAGCCCGCCCAGGGAAACGGGGTCCGATTCTCCTGGGTCCTTGGCGAAGGATGTTGGATTGTGCCCGTTTCCTCAACCTGGACTTGGAGAACTCCTTGACGGCCTGAGAGTGCAAGTTAGCGCCAAGGGGACAGTGTAGCAGTGAGTACAATGATGGAAGGACCCACAAACTCATTTCCAAACTGGTCGGTAGCAAGATGGACGGCACCGTACGAGCCACGGCCAATCTCCTCCCGGATAACATATTGATTGATACGGTGGTTGGCGATGCCCTCCTCATCGTCCTCGGTATACTCGGACCGGGCATTCAGCGTTTCCTACACGGGAGAAACCCATTGTCAGCATGGGCATGTGAGATGCTCTACAATGTGTGCCATACCTTGACTTCGAAGTGGGCAGACGGTGTTCGCTTATGGTGTCTTATTGGGCTCTGGAACTTTTGAATATCGGCCGGTGCGGACCTGAGCATATGGTATTAGCTTGCGTGTTCATTACAGGACGACAGGTGCTCAATCATTCGAGGTGGTGAGACCTACCGGACCGAAGGCAAGTCGGGTTTAGCTTCGGGATCGCCATGGAATTCAATGGATATGCCCGGTGAGGTCAAGTTCGTGGCAGACACGGTCGCCGTCCTTGGAGCTGCTCCCATGACTGCGTCCAGATTGTTTACACGGGGTCGCAGTGGGAGAGTAAAGGTTTTTGGTTGAGGGTGAGAAGAAGCCTTGTTTTCTGACATCTTGTCTTCAGGAGGAAAAGGTGAAGGCGGGGATCACAATAAGATGAGACCAAAAACGAAGAAGGCAATCGGAACGCGCTGCACACAGGTCCGAGAAGGCTCTGAGATAGGTATGTCTGCAGCTCCTCGTTACCAAGAAAAGTCCTGTGTATCAATTGGGATAGATTGGCCAAGACTGATGTGATGTGAGTGGGGGGTGTGGTCTATCGAGGCTGCTCTAGTTTCTCGCCTGGCCGCTGGAGGATCGAGTCTAGAGAACGAGAAGCAGGGTCTGATCTGAAAGACAAAGAGGAGATGGGAACCGGCTTTACTTCAATACTCGCTCCAAGATTTTGTTGATGTGAGGGAGGCCGTAGAGGTAAAGTTGAGGGCTCGGTCAGCTCGTCATGAGCTCGCTTTCTTGTCGATTGCCAAGGGTTCTCAAGCTTCTACTGCAGCGCCTTGGAGCTTGTGCTGCGCTTGTGCTGGCTTTGTTGGCTCCCTGACAGTGAGACGGAGACTGGCGAGGCACCCAAGATGGACCCGACCAGGGACGGAAAGAGGCTCCTGCTGGAGGAGGCACACCAAGAGGCACACCCAAACCCATGGCACGGCGGCACGGCATGGACGTGGGAGGGCAACAGCCATTGTCCTTGGGTGCTAAAAGGGTCCCACAGAAAGGGCTGAAAGCAGCCGCAACCAACCCCTCAACTGGGTTGAAAAATGGGGTGTGAAACGAAAGAGATAGGCCTCTACCTACGGATATTCGGCAGATAATACGCCTACAATATAACCCCCAAAGTCGTAAAAGGTCATACACCCTTGGAAGAGAAGGTGATAATGCCTCTAGAATATAATTTCAAGCTGTATAGTGGTTCTAATAGGGCCTCTTTCCCTTGCTTGGGCGTTTGTGTCTTGATCCAGTTGCCCCTCTTGATGAATCTGCCCCTCCACGCCCGCACGACATGGATTGATCCTCATCCTTGCATCGCGAGGGAGCTTGCTCGTCGTATCCACAGCGCTCAATCGGTCAATTTTTGGGCTCTCAAGTGTCCTCAGAATATCAATTTTATCTGTTCTCGCTTCAAGTATCAATCCAGTCATATGCTGATAGCGTGATCATGAAAATTCCCAAGAATATTTGCCCAGGAAAGCCTATCCGTCGTATGCATGCTGACGGGAGGTGTAGTGGGGTAGTATGCACCAACTTGGTAGCGTCACTGCAATTGGCTTGCAGGGAGCAACTGGCCCAAGGAACCAGGGTCGGGCATCTGGCGTGTGCCCTGTGCACCCCGAAAATTGCTTTGGTTTGCCGAGCAAGACCTTCCCCGATTCCGACAGACGCTCTGATCCGTAACCCGTGCACCGTAACGGCCAGGGGTCAGCGCTGTCAATCCACCTCCACGGACATCAACCGTCGCGAACCCGGGCATCGGAACTTTCTAACAGAAGAACATCCCGTTCGGTGACCGGTCCTTGCTTCGCGCGTCAATCTGCATTCCGAAACCGCCAGGCGACAGGTCACGTATACCTGATCGCAACAATGGTCATCTACTCGTTCTACATCTTTGACCGGCACAGTAAGTTGCTCGTCTTCCCATCACGAGAAACCCAAGAGACATGCCAGATCCTGACAACTTCAACCCAAACAGCGGAATGCATCTATTCCAAGAAATGGCTCCCGCCCTCAGCAGAAGGCAACCCGACCGGCCCGAGCACGTTCCCTACAACGAATGGCGCCCCCCATCGTCACTACAACGGCAACAAGGCATCCGACGACGCCAAGCTGATATTCGGTACCGTTTTCTCGTTGCGCAACATGGTCCGAAAACTCGGCGGTGAAGATGACGCATTCATTGCCTACCGCACGGCTCAGTACAAACTTCACTTCTACGAAACCGCGAGCAACCTCCGACTGGTCATGTTGACCGACACATCCGCCCCGAGCATGCGCAACGTGCTCCACCAGATATACATCAATCTCTGGGTAGAGTTTGGTACGAACAGAAGTCTACTACCAAGGTCGCAACCTGATACTAACTCTTGTGCCTATTATAAA